GAGATGAGGTCTCACTGCCCAGGCGGGTCTCGAACCCGCGGACTCAGGCAATCCACTCACCTCAGCCTCCCAAAGGCACGGGATTACAGGCTGAGCCACCGAGCCTGGCTCAAAGTCACTCTTGAATGGAGTTATGGAGGATGAGGCGTTAACTAAAAGGAAAGAAAATAAGAGGCAGGTACAGCATGTGCAAATGCCCTCAAGTGGTACAAGTTGGGCCAAGTGGGGAGAGGAGTAGATGTGGGGCAGACAGGAGATAGATAATACAAGAGCAAAGTAAGTAAGGAGTTTGGATTTTACTCTGAGCCTTGGGAACTTCTTAAAGGGTCTTAAGCAAGGGTTTGACTAATGAGACTTACAATTTGAGAAAATCACTCTTGCTAAAACATCAATATTTGTAAATAATTTCTCCAAATCTTGTAGTGGTTGTAGCTCTTGAAATTTAGAGGCTAGAAAGAATATGGGGAGACTCCACAGTTGTCAAAGAGAGAGGTGATGGTGGCTTGGACTCGTAACAGATGAGAGTATCTGAACCATTTGCAAGTTTATTAAAACTTTCATGTGGTTGAACCATAACTGTATTCCTGTTTCTTACTCTCAAGCTCTCCATGTGATTACATCATAAACATAGAACCCAGAATCCAGAAAGACACATGTGGCCAGGGAGCATCCTGAGCCTGTTTATCAGGTTAGTTGGGCATGCCAAGCAATGTTCCACGTGCAGGTCTGTCTGGTTTGGACAGCATACCAAGGCAAGCAGGGTCTACCTAAGATGAGGGGGTTGGTCATAAGAACACATTACCTCCTCTAGCTCACTTTTTCACAAGGGCAGAAAAGGGAGCTAGCTGCACATATTAGCTTGCTGTCATGACAGCATAGCACATAACACTCAGCAAAGTGAGACTGAATGGATCCAAATGCCTATTCCTACCACTTTGCTCACCAACTCTGCAGAATGTTCCAGGACCTCTCCATACTTGTTTTCTCATTTTAAATAAATTTATAATTTACTTTAATTTTTTAGAGACAAGATCTCACCATGTTGCCCAGACTGGCCTTGAACTCCTGGGTTCAAGCAATCTCACCTTAGCCTCCTGAGTAGCTGGGACTACAGGCACATACCACAACTGACTTCTTTCCTCATCTTGAAAATATGATAACAATAGCAACTTCTGTTGGAGTTTTAGGAGACCAAATCTTTCTGCTCCTTCTGAGTTCAGAACTGAGAAATAAAAGTAGACATCAGACAGGTAGAGAAAATGTCATCTTTATTACTGACAAAAGCTGGACTGGAGGATGTGGTTGAGGTGAAAATACTTCATCCTTCAGAAAAATAATAAATATATCTTATAAATTTTTTTTTAAAGAAAATACTTCATTCAGTCACTAACCCAGTGGGCAACTGCAGACAGCAGGTAACAACGCACCCTCTCTGTGGGCAGGGAAGTCCAACCCAGCACTGAGCCTTCTCAGAAAGTCACCAGGCACAGAAATTCTCCTCCTGCTCTGGGGAAGAGGTGAATGAAAGCTAAACAGATATGTTTCTCCATACTTGGTTCTGCTGGGAAGTAGACTAGAAATCTCCCCTACCCTTGAGAATGTTAACGAGAGAAGAGAGCTGGCTCGGTGGCTCAGCCTGTAATCCCGCGCCTTTGGGAGGCTGAGGTGAGTGGATTGCCTGAGTCCGTGGGTTCGAGACCCGCCTGGGCAGCGAGACCTCATCTCTACAATAAATCAAATAATCAGCTGGGCGTGGTAGCGCATGCCTGTAATTCCAGCTACTCGGAAGGCTGAGGCGGAAGGATCGCCGGAGCCCAGCAGGTCGAGGATGTGGTGGCCGGGAGCAGCCACTGTACTCCAGTCTGGGTGACAGAGTGAGACTCCAACTCAAAAAAAAAAAGGGAGAAGAAGTGATTCTTTCAACACTTTATTGGGGTGGTTTGGAGATTAGAGAAAAACATAGGTAAAGTATCTAGAAAACAGACCCCATAAAGATCTCATCCCTTGGCCAGGCACGGTGGCTCAAGTCTGTAATCCCAGCACTTAGGGAGGTCAAGGCAAGAGGATAGCCTGAGCTCAGGAGTTCAAGACCAGCCTAGGCAACTTGGTGAGACCTCGTCTCTATAATAAATCAAAAAAATAAGCTGGGCGTGGTAGTATGTGTCTGTAGTCCCAGCTACTTGGAAGGTTGAGGCAGAGGGATCACCTAAGCCCAGCAGCAGGTCGAGGCTGCAGTGTTCACGAGTGTGCCACTGCACTCCAGCCTGAGCGACACAGTGAGACTCTGACTCAAAAAAAAAAAAAAAAAAAAGGTCTCATCCCAGCACCAACTGTCCTGGGTTGGGAAGGCTAGCCAGACAGGCAAGGCTGGTTAACTGAGGGAAGTTGTGGTTCAGAAACTGCATGAAGCAAGGGAGTTCTTGAAGGGGGGTTTTTTCCTCTCTTTTTCTCCTTGTTCCTTATACTCAGGAAAACTTGCAAGTTCCCTAAAAGGAAATGCTGACCAAATATGAAGTGGCAAGCCTTCTAAACAGGGAAATAAAACCCAAAATCTGTGTATCTTTGGTTATACACCAACCCACTATGAACACAGTTTAATAACACAGCTTTCTTTTATGGGTGTGTATATGTACTACTTCTGTTGCTTTTAGGCAGAATTTTTTTCAGAGGGGTGGGGAGAGGAAGGGGTTATTGTGTTTTCCAAGGCAGCCCCCCACCCCCACCCCTTACAAGTAAGCAATTAAGAATCACTGGCAGGGAAGTCAGTGGGAACAAACAGGAATAAGCCCTAGGGAAAGCCTTGTCCAATTACTGAACAATAACCATTCCATTTTAGGTGAGTGCATGGGAAGACAGGAAATAATATGTTGTGTTGATAACATGCCTTACTGATACACTGCACTTCTGCATGCAATACATCAGCAAGGTCACACTCACCACCTGTCCTGCTACAGCCAATCCCAGGTCATCTACCTGATGGATCAAAGCTACTAATTCTATGGACATCAAGGGAAAAGCCCAGGGGAGCAGGAAGCTGTTGATCTGTGAGCCTAGTGGTTCCCTTCCCTGTGCTGAGTCACCTCTCAGTTGGGGCATTAGGAGACCACACCTGGCTGAGTTTCTGAGATATATGGAAACTCCCAGCAGCCTGGATTCCTGACAGGTTTTACCTTGGGTAATTCCTCTTACAAAGGCTATTCCCCCTTGGCAATTCCAACTGCAACATCTTTAGAACTTCTTTTTCCTTTGCACACAGAGCAGGTTCCAGGACCCAAAAGTTTAATGTGATTGTACAAGCCATACAAAGATTTTCCATTAGAAATTGAGCCTTAAATATACAGCGAATTTAGCAATGGCAATAGCTAACATTCAAAGGCTGATTTTTTGATTTATTGTAGAGATGAGGTCTCGCGGCCCAGGCGGGTCTCGAAACCACGGGCTCAGGCAATCCACTCACCTCAGCCTCCCAAAGGCGCGGGATTACAGGCTGAGCCACCGAGCCCGGCTAGTACTATTGTTATCTACATTTTACAGAAGAGGAGTTAAGACATAGAGAAGTTAAGTAATATTTCCATGGCCCCTAACTATTATAGCCCCAATATTTAGCCCCAGGGAAGGAATCTGTTGCTTTATCTTCCACAATCTGCATTTATGAACTCAAAGAATATAAAATCTGAGAAAGGTCTTAGAGATTACTAAGTGTAACCTTTTATTTTACAGGTAAGAAAACAGACCTGGAGAAGGGATAGGGTTTATCTGCCCCAGTCCCACAGTAAGATCATAAGTGAACCTCCAGTCCCCCACATTTTGTGCTTCTCCCATGAACACATTCCCCCCCTTCTTCCCTTGCAATAGAAATTGATGCCAGGTAGGGTGCAGTGCAAACCTGTGGGTTCTTTGACTTGGCCTTGAAATGATTTTTCAGAGCGGCCAGCAAAGTTTTAAAACAAAGTTTATTAGAGAAAGAAGAGAGGAAAGGAAATGGCAGGCAAAAGTTTCGTACTAGAAAGGCCTGGCGTGGAAGTCTCTCTAAGAGGAAAGACTGCATTTTTGCTCTTAACTAAGAAACTAGATATATTTTCTCAACAACTGATATGCTAAAGTGGGTGGGACACAGGTAACTGCCTTTCCAAAGATTGACATCTCTCAGCTTCTGACAGGAGGAGAGGAGAGGTGGTCTTTTCCAGACCACATAGTCTTTTGCAGGAGACCTGGCCAGCATTTCTGATTCACAATCTCATGAATTACAAGGTGGTTTTATTATCATTTCTATGACTTTGGTTAGTTAAGGAATGGTATTCTGGCCTTCTGCCTTTGACTGGCAACCTGAAGTGATTATTATGCTAAACCATGAACTGAAAGGTTGGGCTGTCCCATTCTTACCTCTGTCAGGTCTTCTTTTGATTTGCCGATGGGTTGGAGTAGGCTACCAGCTTGGCCTTCAATAAAATATAATTTTTTAAATGTATGAACACTGCCTACGGTCTATATATCTATGTCTAACTTGTGCTAGCTACCCTGCCTCAGAAATCATTCCCTTGATTATCCTAATCATTTTTTGCTTTTCAATTCTCCATAAATATTCCCATTTTTGTCTCCTTTTGTTGAAATTTTTACTGAAATAAAAAAGGAAAGAATAGAAGAGAAGAAGGTAACAAGAGACAGTAGGAAAAAAGAAAGGAAGAGAGGAAAGAAGGGAGGGAGGGCGGGGGGAGGCTAAGAAGGAGAGGGTAAAAAAAGAAACAAAGAAAAATGTTCCATCTGCCTATCAATTAATGAAAAGCTGGATAACTCAATTGCTAGACCCTCGTTTCACCTTCAAGATTTCTGAGGTCAAGTCCACCTCCTGTGTGACACTGAATTAGTCTCGCCTCCTGGCTCTGAGTCTCAATTTACCCACCTGTAAACCCACGAATCTACCGGATCACCCAAAAGCTTTCTGCCCTCATCAAAGAAGGCCGCCCAGGCCTTCTCTGGCCGTTGCTTTGCCCTCAACCGACATGGCGACTGCGCGTGACGTCGACTTCCGCCGCTCTCACTCTACCCCTTTCCCTAGGAGGCGGCTAGACTCAATGACGGCTGCGGGCAGAGCGCATGCGCGGCGGCGGGGCCTGGCCCGCGGCGGCGGCGGCGGCGGCAGCGAAGGG